GAAAGATAGTTTTTCAGGGTACATCATTCTGGGTTCTTCACTCCAACCTCTTCTTGACATGATGGTTTCTGTTGAGAAGTCTATCATGATTCTGACAGGTTTTCCTTTACAGGTTATCTGTTTCTTTTCTCTAACAGATTTTCATATTCTGTTCCTGTGCTGAATGTCTGGGATCTTGATTATTATATGTCTGGGTATATTTTAGTTGTTTTGGTTACTGATAGTTGGGGTTCTATATGCCTTGCTTACATGTATGTCAGGTCTTTTTCCCTGTGCGTGGAAAGTTTTCTGTTATTACTTCTGTAAACAATCTTTTTATGTCATCTGTGCTGACTGCTGCTTTTTCACTGACACCTATCACTGTTGAATTATTTTTCTTTGTGTCGTCTTGCAGCCATTGATTTGTTATTTCCTGGTTCCTTGTTATTTTTAAGAGATCTTTCCTTTTGCGATTGCTAGCTCCATCCTGTCTTCAAGGTCTGAAAATCTATCTTCAGTTTCTTTCAAAAAGTTTTTTCAGGGTTGGGTTTTAGCTCAGGTGCACAAATGCCTGCCTGGTAAGTGTCAGGTCCTGAGTTTGATCGCTGGTACCATAAAAAAAAAAAAAAAAAAGTTTTTTCCAGCTTTCGATGGGATTTTTAATTTCTTAGAGTCTGTTTCATGCATTCCAATTCTTCTCTATATTGTTCCCTCATTCTCCTATGGTCCTCTTTTATTTTAATCCATATTAAAACATAGATTTAATCTATGTTAAAACATAAAGACATGCTCAGGAACACTTTTATTATGTTTGTGATTTCTTCTTTTACCTGATATATTCTTTCTTTCTTCTTCTTCTTTTTTTTTTTTTTTTTTTGGTACTGGGGATCGAACTCATGACTATATGCTTGCAAGGCAGGCACTTATGTCACTGAGCTAAATCCCCAGGCCCTGATATACTATTTCTGATCTGATTTCTTTTACAGCTTCATGAAGTAGTTTCTTTACTTCATCATTCCAGAAATTTCAGGTGTGCAACTTACACTTTTTTCCATGTCTATTGTCTCCTGGACTTGTTTTGGGCTGGATGTCAGAGCTGCCTTTTGCTCCTTCATCTTGACATCTTCCTGGGTTCTGAACAAGCTGGTTGTAGGGTCGAGGTACTTCCCACATTGGCCACCTGTCCACGGTGTGAGGCGATGGGTCAGGCACCTGCATTTCTCCAAACCCAGGTTCCCTGTAGAGGCAGTAGGGTGTGGGGTGGGCTTCTCCAGATACTCACAGCTTCTGCAAGGCATAGTTGGCTGGTTCTCCTGGCCTGCACTGGCCACTCATTGGGAGAGTTCCAGTGGCAGCCAGTGTGCACATGATGGCTGGGCTGGCTGCTTCTCCCAGCCCATGCTGGTTCTCCATGGGACAATTCCAACAGCAGCCTGTGTGTGTGATGGAAGTCTATTTTTCTTATTTGTTGTATTACTCCTGATGCTCCAAAATTCCTTCTTTTATCATTTTATTTTTATTTAGAGAATTTGCTATCACAGCTTTTTCAGGGTGGTTCTTCTGGTGACAAGTTCTTTTAGTTTTCCTTTATGTGTGAATGTCTTAATTTCCTCATCATTCCTGATGGATACTTTTGCTGAATATAGGATTTTGAGTTGACAGTTCTTTTTTTCACTACTTGAGAAAATGTGCTACTTTCTCCTGACTTCCATCGTTTCTGATGAGAAAATCACTGTCGTTCAAACTGTTTTTCCCCCTGTAGGAAAGAAGTTATTTTTCTATTGCTGCTTTGAGGAGTTGTTTTGGTTTTTCATTTTGCTTGTGGGAATAGCATATAGATAGATAGATACATAAGCCAATAGAACACAAGAATGAGCCCAGAAATATATCATATCATATGATATGTTATTATACTATATTATATTGAATGATCTTAACAAGGGTGACACATGACTACTCAATAGAGAAAGGTCAGTTTCTTCAACAAATGGCTTGAAAAAACTGAATATCCACAAAAGAATAGAGTTGGGTCCTTACCTAACTCATATGCAGAAAGTAACACAAAATGAATCCACCTATATGAGGTACATCAGATATGCAAATACATAGAGACACTAAGAACAGTGGGTACTTGAAGTTTAAGAGATGGGAAGTTATTATTTAATGGGCACACAAGTTCAGTCTGGCATAATGTACAAGTTCTAGTTTTCGAAAACAGTAATACTTTGAAAGCTATGGCTTTATAGTAAATTTTAAAATCAAGAATCATGAGTCTTCTAATTTTTTCATTATTCAAGATTGGTGTTTGGTGATTTAGGGCAGCTTGTGATTTTTTTGTCTATTTAAAATAAAACAAAACAAAAATAATGGCACAGAGTTTTGTTGGATCATTGAACAAAACTGTTTGCAGTCTCACTGTTTGAAAGTCCACTTTATATGCTTTAATTTTGTAACTTGAACAACTATTTCTAAGATAATAATATGTAATCTATTAACTAGTGATTTCCTACTGTTTATTTTTTCTGAAATTCTGTATAACTTGTACCCTTTTTCTGTTTTTTATTCTTTTTCTCCTTAAATAAAAAAAAAGAAAAAAATAATGGCACAGGATAGAGTGAATTTATAGACAACTTTGTATAATTTTGCTATCTTAATAGTAATTCTTCTAATCTATGAATATGGAATGCCATTCTTTTACATTTTATTTTATTTATTTAATTTGGGTTTTTTTCCCCCTAAGATAGAGTTTCACTATGCAGTTTAGGCTGGCTTTGAACTCACAGTGATCCTCTTGCCTCAGCCTCCTGAGTACTGGGAACACAGGGGTGTGCCACCAGGCCTGGCTTTGGTATGTCATTTTGTTTACTTATACTTTAATTTCTTCCAGCAATGCTGTATACATTTTAATTTATAAATCATTTATCTTTTGGTTAAGTTAATTTCTAAGTATTTTATTCTATTTCATGTTGTTATAAATGGAACCATTTTCTTAGTTTTGGAAGGGTTGTTCTTTATTAGTTGTTAGATACACAACTGATCTATGCATATTGATTTTGTATCCTGCAACTTTGGTAATTGTGCATATGATTCCTAGATACAAATCATGCTATTTATGAACAGAGATAATTCCTTTTCAATTTGGATGCATGTCTCCATCATTATTTTAAAACTTTATTAGTACATGTGTATATTACATAATGTTTACATTCTTGTAGGAAGATGGCACCTGTACCTAATGTATCTTAATTCCTTTTTCATCCTCTTTTCTTTTTCCCTCTCTTCCCATCTACCCACCTCTTGATCCTCTTGCTTTTATTCCGTTTGTAATTTTGTAAAGTATTTTTTTCACCCCATTTTTTTTCTCTTCTCCTTCTGGCTCTCTAATGTTAGATCTTTTCTAAATTCTTCTGGTTCCTTAATGACATTTTATATTTTTTTCATTTGTTTTGAGGATGTCTGTAATTGTTCTTTAAGTGTTTTATGATGGCTGCTTTACAATTTTTGCCAAATAATTCTAACATCTTTGTTATCTTGAAATTGCCCTCTATTCATTACATTTTTCCTATTAAGATTGAAATATTCCTGGTTGTTATGGCTTGAATCTAGATGTGCCCATAAGACTCATAAGCCCACAGGTGGGGCTTTTGGGAGGTAGGTATATCACGTGATATGATACTGGTGTGTGATACTGAGATTAAACGTGTGGTACAGGATTATTCCACTAGTTGGTTATCAAAGTCCTGGTTGTGGATAAATGGGAAGCCCCATCCTGGGTGTGGGTGACACCACTCAAAAGGCTCAGAACCTGGATAGGATTAAAGGGAAAGGGCTGCTTTCTGTTCACTGCTTCTTGCCTACTACTCCACGGACTGTTTCTCCCCTGCCACGCCCCTTTGCCATGCTTCCCTGCCTTGGAGCCAGATAACTGTGGGCTGAAACCTCTACAAACTGTGAGCTGAAACAAACCTTTCCTTCTCTACGAAAAAAGCTAATGAGCAATGAGAGATGGAAACTCAATGGGAAAAGTTGCTAAGATAATAGTTCTTTGTATGATGAGTGATTTTCAACTGAAACATGGACATTTTTAGCATTCTGTTATAAAATTCTGCATTTCATCTAAACTTTCATTTTAGCTTGCTTTCTCTGACATCACATCAGTAGGAAAATGGGATTATAACACATTATTAGTGTCACTTGAAAGTATGAGCCCAGGATATTCACTTGGTTCCTGGGCTTATATGTTCCAATAGGGAAATTTCTGCTTACTTCCCATCACCATTCTTCAATTTTACCTATAATTTATTCCTATGACTCTTCTTTTTCTCTTTCTCCTCCTCCTCTTTGATTTTCTCTTCTTCTCTTCCTCTTTTTATTTAAAAAATAGTCCTAAAACTAAATTTTATATTTGACAGTCAGTAGCCATTCACAAATATCACAGCCAGAAATTTCTAAATTACTCTTTGAAGTTATTAGTAACTATTCAGAATATCATCTATCCATGCCCTCCTACTCTCCCTCTTTCTTCTACCCAGCATCCCATTAAAGTGTGGTATTACATATTGAGAGGAGGGAGGTCCTTTTCTCTACCAAGATGCAAAATATTTTGAATGTGAACACTTTTTTCTGGTAACTCAGGAGTTCTTTCTCATAATCTCTCCGTCATGACCAAAGAGGTTAAGAATCACTGTAACAAAGTAAGAAATGGAGAAAACAGAATTGCATGCTTTAATTAGACATTGTGCAGGGCTGGAAATCAGCATTCAGGTTGGACTAGAAAGAGACCAGCATGGTATAGCTGATAACCATGCATCAATGAAAGGAACAATTTCTGGGATCTATAGCCTGCATTCCCTGTTCAGATCCAGGAAAAGCTAAATAGATTCCTGGAATCAAATGAGAAGGGGTGGGGGAGACCAAAAAACCCCCAAATCCAAAGTATAGTGCAAGGGTTTCAATCTAGATTTAAAACAAAACAAACAATTACTAAGGGGAAAAGAAAAAAAAGGCCTTTATATCCTTACCTCGGCTAACAAAGTTCCCCTAACAAAGCAGCAATGCTGAGGTCGGGGTGATGGAACCTGGAGCATGCTGAGCTCAGACAGAAGCTGGGAGCTCATTGACAAGACAGCCTGGATGCGGCCAGTGGTCCATGAGGTTCAAGAAGTCAAATTAGTGACAAACAAAAGCCTTCCAAGAAACACACAGAAAGAAATGAAAGTAGATTAGAGATACTCAAGCAGGAAGGAAGCACTGGGAAGGGAGGCTGAGACTGTCCTGTGGCAGCAATCACAAGAATTTCAGCTGAGCCCAGAGGAGATGGAAACCTAAACCAAATCAGAGCTGGATTCCTTTCTTGGAGGATGCTGGGTCCTAATAGAATCTGTAACGCATTTCTGTTTCTGAAGCTTCTCTGATTTCTGTTCCACACTGAGGCTTTGAAAAACCTTATTCAAGCTATTTCCCATCGTTATTTCTAGGGGCTTTAAGGCAACAAATAATACCCAGGGGTGCCCATCTAAAGAGCACCACAGTTTCAAAAAGCAAACCATTCCACTTCTCTTGCCCTCTTCAGGCTGCCTGGGTCCCAAGGAAGCTCAAGAAAGAATTTCTGCAAAAAGAAACCGGCCTGCATTTTGGACCCCCGGGTTGCATGAGCTCCTGGATTGGTGCACATATTCAGGCCACCTTTCTACTAGCAAATGCTCAGCAAAGGTCCCAACAAGATGTGGTCCATTAGCCATATACAGCTCAGACAGCAGGGTTGGGTGGGACTTTTAATGTCCTCTATTCATAAAGAGAGCTGTCCATTCAAGCACATGCTCAGCAGAACTTGCTGTGGTTGGCCCATGTGTGCCTGTGTTTGGTGGCACCAGGAGATATGAAAGGTGTATCAGTCAAGGTCTTTAAAGGCATTGTCACTCATCTTACAGAAACAATGCAACCCTGTGAACTGCTGGGGAGCAATTATATGACATAACTGTTCAACAGAACTGCCACACAACACTCAACCACAAACAGGAGTAGTAAAGGGACCAGCTAGTGCTAGAGCAGTCAGAATGAGAGTTCCCATCCCAGAAACAGCCCTCAAGCAGCCAGAAGCTTGAGACTGGCAAGTCCACTCTTACACACCCTCATTTACTTTTCGAGACAACTCTGTAGGATAGGAATTAATCTCATTTAAAAATATTCAGAGAGACTAGCTAGCTGTCTTGCATCAAGGTACAGACCAGGTAGGTGATAAGACTGGAAGTTGATACTTTGATGCTAAGTCCAGGCACTCCTCCTACTGCACCACACTGTCAGGGAAGCACATCTGCTCCTTAGCTGAGGATCGAAACATGACCAGAGACTCAGGACTTGAACAGAGTCAAGCAGAAAGTTTTGGGAAGGCTTGGATTTAAGGCCAGTTCTTAGGAGAGATAACCCTATGCTGCTCTTTGGATTTTTTCATCTGGCAGCTATCATTGTCCATGCTTGGCTTATTTTTGTACCAAAAGCAAGAAACACTAAGGTAATTACTATAAAGGGAACTTCTGAACCTCACAAAATAGGCATGAAGACACGGAGGGTTTAAAGGACAATCTGAGTGCATCAGAAGGGCCAATGACGGCACACACTATCAGTCTAGAACATATTATCTGGTAAACCCAAGCTGAAATATCTGTTTGGGTGTGTTCAGGCCTGTCTGCAGCTGAGAGTTTCTTCTTTTACTTTTTTCTTGTCCTGTCCTCACTCCTTCCCTTCCCTCCCCTCCACTCCCAGCTCCTCTCCCTTTTTCTGGTACTGGAGAAGGAACTCAGAGCTTTGCACATCCTAGGCAAAAGCCATAGCCCTGAGTGAGTGAGGCATATCCTTTAGGAGTTCTCCATGCAATGGCAAAGACAGCCTCGCATGAAAACAGAAGAGATCCAAATGCTCTCCGGCTTCTCTTCCCATTGTCCTCTGAATTGGCATCAAGGATTCAGATTTGAAGGGATTTCTATATACTGAGTATTATTAGAAAGCCTCATGATTTAGCCAGAACAGTCTGGAGAGACAGAATAAAGCCTTGGATTCTAGCCTGGATTTAATGACTTGTTCACATGTCTGTCTCCTCCATTAAATTGTAAGGACAATACTGGGCTTTATTCAGAGTAACAGAAGCATTTAATCAACACATATTGAATTAAACTAAATCAACTAGACCTGGCTCTGCCTCAGTGTGACTTCAGACAAGCCCTTGCATGTCTCCAGGACTTAGGCCTTCATTTTTCAAACAGGGATGAAAATGTCTACCTGCTGACCTCACACAGCTGCCTTCTGTCATGAGGACCAAGTAAGGTCATGTACGCAGGAGCAGTATTACTTGTTTCCAGTAGTACCATGAACATAAAGGACTAATCTGGTCATACTTACGGAACGTCTAGCTACAAGGTGACCCTGGGTTGGGAACATCATTTACTTGGGAAACTTCCACTACATTCTTTCTCTACCAACTTTTTCACACAGCAGACCTTCAGTAAGAATTTTCTGTCCAGCTGATTTACCTGGTTAACAATTACTGATCAGACCAGAAAAGGAAAGTTCTTACAGAGCTGCAATCACTAGGTGTATTTCCCCAGTTTGAAAAAAGATGTTGAGCAAAGTATAAAGAACTGGATCCATGTTCCTTCAGGAAAGCCTACTTTCTTCCTGGTGTCTATGGGCTGATTTCAATTAGAGGTGATGAACAGACAACATGGCTAACATTTAATAAAAATTAGCATTAGGGAATCTTATTTTGAAGATTCCTTTAGACATCATCATTTTTTTTTCATCTGAAAATGCCCTTGTTATGGGTTCAGCCAGCCCCCAGACACTGGGCTCTGAGCCTTCTCCATGGGGTATTTTGCAGACAAGGGGTACTGTGTCCACTGCATTAAAGTGTCAGGTGCTCCCCATAAAAACCCACATGCAGTTCTGTCTTGCCCCACTGGCACCTGGGCCAAATGAGCCTTCTAACTCTGTTTTTGGAAGGCCGGGGAATGAGAAGGATGGAAATAACCTAGCAGAGATGAGAAAGCCAAAGACGCAGAAAGCCCTGGGCCCCTTGGGGCACAAGAGGTTCCCTAAAAAGGGAGAAAACAAGTCTCATTCTTTAACAAGCTTTTCCAATACCGACTCACTTCTATTCATTTTTTCTATTTGTGAGAAGTTTTTCTCACCTCTATGCAGTTTTGGGGAGGGAGTCAGCATCTGAATGAATATTTCTTTAGTTCCAGGTAGCTTGTATGGCACTGATGCAGTTACAAAGATAACTGCATAGGTCTTGCAGGTCCCTAGGGGCTGGAGGATAGGTGGTCAGGTATGGCCCTGCAATATGGAAATCACACTGGCAGAGGGAGCAGAGAGTGATAGGAATAAAGACAAAATGACATTGAAGTAAAGCTTTCAAGGATCAGTAGAGTTCTGCCAGGCCCAGGGCTGGGCGGGGAAAGAATTTAAGGCAGAGAAACTATCTTTGTAAAGACCTAGGAGTTGATAGGTCAGGGTGGGCGATGGGGAGCAGCACCATGTGCTCGGGTGAGTGGAGAAGGAGGGAGGATGTGGAGGCTGCAGACAGTGGCCTACAGCCTTGCCTGCCTCAGAAGGAGCTGTGTTCAGTGGGCATGGAGAAAGGGGACTTGTTCTCTCTAGGGCAGGGTACAAGTGCCCTTGTGTTCTGGCGCTAGTTTGCAAGAGTGATTTCAAATTACCATGATATTTGGGAGCTGGTTGATCTTACAATGGTAGTTTCAAATCAACCACCCTGGGCATGTATGTGACAAAAATATGGCAAATGTCACAAAGAACTGGTTGTAAAACATTTACCAGAACACTCCAGGAGTGTATGTACACACATGTGTATGTGCATGCGTGTTACTCACTGCTGAAAACACAGTTGCTAAAACAGTCACCAGGAAGGGGCCTAGCCTCAGCTAGAAAAGGTCTACAGAAGCCTCCGCGCTCTTGGCAGGCACACTCACCAGCCGCAGGTTCTTCATTGCTTGGGGAAACATGCCTTGGTGTAACTGCAGTTTGCCAACTTTCATTACTTGCACACCTCTGACCGGATGGCTTCCTGGGAAAAAAATCCTGCAAGAACCCAAAAGGCAAACAGTGTTAGCAGCTCTCTCCTTTACAGTCAGCACTGCATCAGGAGATTTTGAAAGCGGCAGCAAACACTGGCTGTGAATGTTAATGAGCTACTGAAAAGAAATTAGCTTTGCAATGCAGAAGAATGCAATACTTGGGGGAATTAACTCACTGGCAATCTTCAGGGCCCCCTTCCCCAATCCTTCTGTATTTGAGAAAAAAAATAATAACAGGATGGCAACACCTCCTTAATACACACCAGAGAACAGCTCCACCGCATTTGTATTTTGGGGAATAGTACATTACACTTAGGATACTGTTCCGACCTCCACCCTCTCTCATGAAGCACATATTTGTGGAATACATGAAAGCAAGCTTTCATGATGCCCAGAGTAGATACTACAACACCTTGCCCTCTAACTGTAAAGCCCTGTACGGAATGATAGCTACAGAGTTCACCATGGCCCACCTTTCTGATAGTTTCAGTGTACTTATTTTATCATCTTGTTGGATTACAACACTTTGGATGAAACCACCGTGAGCTCTCTATGACATCCTGTGTGCAGGAGGAACTCAATACACACTTAGCTGTTTGATGTACAATGTAGCAGAATAATGTGTTGTACTGAGCCAATGAATGAGAACTTAGGGCTATGCTTTGTAGAGCTGCCTTAATTCAACTCAACACAAATGTGCTATTTTGGGGTTACTGGTTTAGCCTCTTTTACCATCCCCACTCTCTCAGGGGAACTGAGCTCCTGCTGTACATGGAGGGCTGGAGGAAATATCATACCGCATAGAATTAAGTTTTTCTCTCAAGGCCCAATACTATCATTGGACATAAGAAAAACATTCACATGAGAGTTAAAACAATATTTCAAGACAGAACATCATTTGGTGCCTGAATCAGGCAAATCTTGGTATGTGTCAGATATTCAGTTCAACTTTGAGTTGAACTGAGAAGTTGATGTAGGGGTTTATTATAAGAGGGTGACTGATGGTGGTCTGGGCTAGGCAAGGCTTTCTGGAGGAGGAAAACAGGATTCAGAAAGGCTTGGCTGGGTGGCCAGAAAGGAAGCAAAGCATACTCTTCTCTGGAGAGGGTATGGGTCTGCTGGCCCATCCGTAAGATGATCCTAGGAGCCATTACTTACACAGGCCTTGCCCTGTGATAGGAACTGCTCTTCACTTATGAGCCCTTGGGGACCAATTTCCATTAGCAATATCATGCCTCTGATAAACCTCGCTGGCTTGATACTGCCACTGCACAGAGCCCAGGGAACGCTTTTTAGCCCTCCTGATTAGCAGGTGAGGTAGGCTGGCTGGGAGAAGCATGTATTTTCTCTGACGAGTGTGTGGCTATCTGCAAACCATTCCTTCTCCTTCAGACTCGACTCCCTTCCCCACCAGGAAATGTGATACAGAAACTTTTTTCTTTCACATTCTTAACAAAGTGGAAAAGCAGAACCTGGGAGGAAAGTATGAAATGAATAGAAGGCTGGTCATGCTCTTTCTAAAGAACCGAGAGGAGTGGGAAGGGGAATAAACAAAGGAGACAGCTGGGTCCTGCAGTTTCCTTCATCTCTGAGTACACTAAGAGGTCCGTCATTTCACCTCTCACCCTTCCCAGAATGAACATCATTATCTACTTGTATGGAAAAGATTCTAAAATCCCCAGACAAAAGATTTAAGTGTAGAACACCATTATGGGAAGGTAATTGCCCTGGACACTTTCCTTGAAAAGCACACTTGGATTTGGGATTTTTTTTTTATTTCTATGAATGTGGGATAATTAAATTTAGAGGCCAAGAAGTAATTTTATACTAATAATCTCCCCACTAAGTGGGTGTCTGTCAAATCAGTTAGCTAAAGGAAAGAAAACCATTGGTCGTATGATGATAGAGAAAGTGGTGCGTAATTACGCCGTGACAGGTACCTGTCTCAGTCACTGAAAGATATTAAAAGGTGAAGCAGAGTTGTACAAGCAGAGGATGAGGAGGAAGTGTGTGCACAAGGTGAAGGCCCTGCACAGATGTTCCCAGAACACTCCTGCACACCCAGGCCCACTCTGGCATGGGGCCAGCTGCAGCTGGCTTGGTTCTGGAGTAAGAGTCAGGATCACCTGTCTGACCAGCACCCCAAGGAATGCTGATGAAGGTGGCCGCCAAGGAGACAGGCTTCAGTAACTTTACTGTGTGTGACAGTGATGAGGATGGAGTCTTCAACTGTACAACTCCAAATCAAGGCCAGGCTGAGAGTCTGAACAAAAGATTAGGTGTGCCTGAGGACTAAAGCAGGATCTTGGGGAGACGAGAGGTGAAGGTTCCATGCTAGGTCCTGAGCCTGGTACTGAGAGGACTCTGGAGAAGTTCAAGGTAAGCCCCTGTCCAGGGTAAACATGGTTCAGTTGTAGAAATGAGGCACATGAAATCGTAACACAGAGAAGACTGAGATCCACCAGAGCATGGCACACACTCTGGGTACTTGGGAAGCAGTAGGGATTACAGGGATTAAGAGAACAACAGGCTTGAGCTGGTTTGAACCAGGGAAGATGATGAAATCTCACCAAAGATTCAGGGCGTATGCAGGGACAGGATTGGGCTGCTCTGAAGATGGGACAGGAGGCTGAATGCAAAGCCAAGTGAGCTCGCTGGTCTGACCAGGGAAACTAAGTGGAGGGGTCCGCTGGTTGTGCAGAGCGCGTGTGTAGTTAGGAAGTTCGGCCTTTCCGTTAGGCAGTGAGGTGCTGCTCAAAGGACTGAGGATATTTCATCAGAACAGGAAACAAAGGAATTTGATCGAAAGTTATAGAACTGATTCAATAACAACTAGGGACTTGCTGGGTAGAGTACAATAGAGTCAGAAATGGCCACAAGATTCAGAAAAATATCCATCTCCACAAAAACAGTAACAGGAAATGATGTAATAACTATATCATTTCACAAAGACTACTTGTTTGGGTATTATAAATTTTCTTTCAGAGATATGCTAGCATTCGCGTGCCCCAGAATGCTGGTCTTGGATGGGAAAACTGTCTTTGGTGCTTCTGCAGTAGGTAAGTACATGGGAGGGAATGAGGTTAAGCAAGCAGAGAGGAGAAGGAAGGGTCCACACCAGCGTTAAACTTCAGTCCACAAGCACAAAGGTCTTGCTGTTAAAGTCTAGAAGGAAACTGAGAGTGAGTGAACTAGAATGTCTTGAGTTGAAAGGACACAGAGCAAAAAGATGTTGCTGACGTTTTTCTTTATAATGCAATTAGCAGTCACACTGCTTTTATTAGAAGTAGAGCTTTGGCATTTATTTCCATAGCAGGAAAAAGCACTTATTTTTCAGGACTGCTTTAAAAAATCTAATGCAAAATACATCATTGAATCTAAAAAAGAAAGTTTTCCTGGCATGTTGCTAGTAAATATATACTGGTGATGAATCTAAAAAAACTCATAATTTTGCAACTCCAGAAGAAATCCAGGAGAAAGGTATCACTAGATGAAGCTCTTAAAGAATGATGGGCATTTTTACAGTGGAGGGATTAGGTTGTTCCAATCTTAGCATCACTAAAGTGAGATAATCAGACATTAATTGCCATCTTATATATGCAATAGGAATTATTTGCATTACCTATAAAGCAACCCTGCCAAAGCAAAGCAAGGCAAACCCAACCCACTAAGCTGAAAAGTTAAACTCCATTTTGTAGGAAAAATAAGTGATAAGAAGAACAAGTGACTCTGGGATGTGGGGATTCTACGGGACGTTGGCTTAGGATCTTCTACGGAGTGAATAGAGAAGATGGGGGCAGTTCAGATTTAAAAAGACAGAAGAGCTGTGACAACCATCTGTACTACAGAGACCTTGTGCATCCTAACTCAAACAAAGCAACTATTAAAAAGACATTTTAAAAGAAAGTGAGGAAATATGAATATGAAAATGCATCATGAGTATAAGAAAATGTCCACATTTTCCAGAGATACAGACCAAAGTACACAGGATTATATGACATAATGTGTGAGATTAGTTTAAGTATCTCCAGCAGAGTTTCTGCTTCCAGAAACTGGTGGTTTAACATGCTTCAGGTCAGCTCCTGCAAAGAGCAAGGAAAGACAGACGAAATACTTTTAAAAAGCTGCTTGACTGTTCTGTAGAGCCACTGAAGCAGCGGAGTCTTAACGATGCAGTCATGGAAGCACAGGAAGGGGAGCCTCAACTCACTGCCACTTTTTAGTGATGACTAGAAGGAAGAGACAGGCACTGTCTTTGGCAGAGCACTGGCTTTGGCAGCATCATGGAAAAGGAGACTTGGAAAGTGAAGTTCAGGCCCCAACAAAGATGAGACAGAGCTTTGGGAAACGTGTCTGGCTTTTATTCGTGACCTCCAAATTTTATTTGTGACTACAGTCTAGGAATACTCCAGTAAACCAGAAACAGGCCAGCCATTACCAAGAAGTAATCAGTTTCAAGCCTGGACAGAGTTCAGGTGATACGTTTCTACCCTGACTGCCAGAAGCAAAAATAAATCTCTCTAAGGAAATAACATCAATCTGACCTTCAAATTATATCTTTAATTTTTTATTTTTCAAAAAACCTTTTTAAATTTTAAAATAATTTTTTTCTATATCCTGATCTAAACCCAATAAAATCATTACTAGGCATGCAAGAAGACAAAAACTGGAAACCGAAACAAAATCCACATGAAACAGAGATCTGTGGCTACTGAAATACTAAGGTTCTCTCACACCGTCTTTAAAATAACTACAATAAATATATTTGAGGAGTTAGGGAAGCCAGAAATTATATTTTAAAAACAATGGGAATTTTAGAATTAAAAAAGCAGAAAGCTGAAATTAATAACTTGATAGTTTACCATCAGATTAGAGCTACAAATTAGTGAACTAGAAATCATTTAAATGAATATATGCATCACACAACATGAAGGAACAATGGAATGAAAAACAGACAGAGACACAGGTGTCATATATGTTAACAGGACTCTCCTACGAGAACAA